TCAGCTGGGTGTGGTGACACAAGCCTTTAATCCCGGCACTGGAGAGGCAGAAGCAGGCGGATCTCTGTGAGTTCGAGGCCAGCCTGGTCTACAAAGCAAGATCCAGTACAGCCAGAGCTACACAGAGAAACCCTGTCTCCAAAGTATAAATTCCACTCAAAGGAAAACTGGAAGAAACATAGATATCTGCAACCACCATGTTCAAGGGACTTTATAACACACTGAAGGGCCAGTACAATGGCTCATGACTACCAGTGCTCACAGTGTGACGAGCTGAGTTCCCTCCCGGGACCTGTCACACAAGGAAAGAGTGAACTCGATCCCAGAAGCTGTCCTCCAGCCCACATGAGTGTGCTGTGGCATGAGTGTACACACGACATGAGGTACTCACAGACATAACTGTATTTTTAATCACACCGAAAAGCTGATGAGACGCATTTTGTCATAGTGCTGCCATAAGCATTGTGTTAAAATAAAAAAAAAAAAGCAGTGCGCCCCCACTGCAAACACTGCCAAACAACAGCCTTTCAAACTTACTTACACTATAAAATATTAAGAGTAGGCAAAATGTAATTGCAAATAAACATGTTTGCTGTGTAAAGCCAGCTCTAATCACCCGCCCACCTGATTCCAATTGGCAATGCCACCATGCTTCCGAAAGCGTCAGAGGGATGAAAAGCTAAAGTGGAAACCAGAGACTTTGACGCCCCATTCCTAGCTACCCCCTGAAATCTGTAATATTACAGTGGAACAAATGAGGTTGGTTAAACACGTGCAACACCGTGGTTATTGAACTAGACTCTGGCCTACTTCGCTCCAGCAGTTCCTTAGCCATTGAAGAAAATTTGTGATTGTGTATACAGAAATACAGCTTTTCCCCATACATTTTTGTTTCACAAACTTTTCGTTTGCCTCTTGTGTTCAATTTTATCATATCTCCAAGGAGAGGGAGGACAGGATCTACAATCCTTCCTCTCCAAGACAAGAATATGAGGCTGACACGCAAAGAGATACATGATACCAACAAGGTCATGTGCCAGTTAGCAGCAGACCCAAGACAACAGACACAGGAACACAGGAGCAAGGAAACTCAAAGGAGTTTCTACTCCGCATTTGATGCAAAGGCCTGTGAGTGAAGATGGCAGCAGGTAGACAGGGAACCAGCACTGCTCTGCTCTGGCTTTACAGCCCTGAAATCTCTAACACTGTGACAAGGAGCGAACACTCCAACCACTACCTACGTTAGACTTCACTTGTGAGGCTCCAGAGAGGAGGCCTGCTCTCGCAGAGGACTGGGGTTCCATTACCAGCACCCACGTGGCAGCTCACAGCCATCTGTAACTCCAGTTCCAGGGGATCCAACAGCCTCTTCTGACCTCCGCAGGCATTGCACACATGTGGCACACAGACATACGTGCAGGCAGAACACCCGTGCACACAGAATAATAAGATAAAAGACTTTTTAAATTATTTTATTTGGCTTGGGCATACACCCTGCTTGTTCCCCAAGCTAAATCAAGTCCTACATGTTGAAACCATGAATGAAGCGATCATGTGTGGGATGGGAAGGGGTGGGAGGGCCCAGGGGAGGGAGGGGAAGGGGGAAGAATGGGGAAAAGAAACAGACAAAAATATTTGGAAAATACCATAATGAAGCCTAATTCTTTATAAGCTAATTTTAAAAAACTTTGAAAAATTTAACCATGCACAGCCACAAACAAACAATAAAAAGAACCTACAAAATAATAATTGTCCCAGTTTGTCCCCAAAGACCCATGTGTTACAGGTCCTTAGCTCCCGTCACTACTGAGCAGGGGGCCAAGATGGAAGGCCTCTGTCTTAGCTTGCTTTTCTGATGCTGTGATAAAACACTAACCAAAAAGCTACTTGGGCTTATGTGGTTTACAGGTTACAATCTATCATGGAGGGAAGTCAAGTCAGGAGCTCAAGGCAGAAGCCTGGAGACAGGGACTGAAGCAAAAGTCAGGGAGAAATGCTCTTTCCTGCCTGGCTTTCCCTGGCTTACGGGACCTGCTGTCTTATGCACCCCAGGACCACCTGCCCAGAGTTGACTCCGCCCACAGTGGGCTGGGCTTTCCCACAGAAATCATCAATCAAGAAAATGCCTTACAGACATGTCCACAGACCAGTCTGATAGAGGCAGTTCCTCAGCTGATACTGCCTCTTCCTAGGTGACTGTAGTTTGCTCTAAGCTGACAAAAACTATACAGCTAAGCTTCTCACCTCCAACACACGCTTGCGCGCACGCACACACACACACACACACACACACACACACACACACACACTGGGAGCACGCCCTAGCCCTGCCCGCCTCTTTACAGGCACCTACCATCTATACTGTGCCACTGAGGTCCCAAAACAACAGAATCCATAGACTGTAGGAATGAAGCCTCCAGAACTGTGAGGACAAAAATGATTCCTCCTTGTAAACTGATAATCTCAGGTATTTTGATATAATAATGGGAAACTGACCATACATTCTAGGACCTTAATTAAGCCATTACAAAATTAAATGTAATTATTTCTCAATAGTTGAAACTTTTCACTCCTGAATTTTGAAAAAATTATTTTATAAGACAGAATTCCTAGTTTTGAAACTACATATTAATAAAAATCAATGAGATAATTTCCTTAGAATCTAAACCTCGGTGGATGTGCCAGGCATTTTTTGGAAGCATCTTTGAAGTTTCTACATTACTTGCATATCTCACAACGTTGCTTGTATTGATAAGATAATTAAAATTTCAGGTTGAACACTATTAGGTATTTCCTAGATTTGAAAAAAAAATAGCCTGCTCTTCCAAACAGAAAGTACTGCCACAATTATAAAGATGTATTTGTCGAGTAAAATGTCACAGGACCTGTATACTCTGCCTTACTTCATAAGATTTGAACTCATGTAGAACCCACTGAAGTCCATGTTACTGGGCTGCCCTGGAGTGCTCTTTGAACATTATTCACTGAGGGCCAGAAAATTGTATCAGGGGACATCAGTAATAACTTCTGTAACCACTCTTTGAAAACCTGTAGATACTGGAGTGCAGGAGGTGGGGGGGGGGGCAATCACACTAACAGCTGACCTCTAAAGTTCTATGAGTTACCTGAGCCTCTGAGAAGTCCACTTCAAAAGACAGACATCCAATCAAAGCACCAAGCTCCACCCAGGGCAGCATGGTCAAGATTCTCTTCAACTTGGACTCTGCCTTGCCAGTGATCTCAACACTATTATTTCATGAACAGAGAATGATGCAGCCTGAGAACACGTTCTAAAGAAACTCCACTTTCAAATCACCAGCAAGAAACACTGAGTACAGTGAGTAAGGACCTTTGATGCCATTGAGGGAACAGCATTCGTGCTGATTTTTCTGTCCAAAGTTATCATGTAAAAGCAGGAGTCTACGGCAGGAGTAGAGTTCTGGCTTTGGACATAAATGCCCTGTTTCTTGAGTTGGTCACTTCTGGTCTCAGCCATGCCTAGAGACAACTCCAGACCATGGGAGCTGACCACCTCATCCCTTCTGGCATTTGCTTCCTACATTACCCACATATGACCTTGCTGAGTGACCCTACAGAATCAGAGTCATCCTAGACCTTGAACTCTTGCCTAGTCTAGGTGGTGATAATTACCGCCTCAGCTAATTAACTTGTGAATGTAGTCATTACAGCCTTGCCATGCTAAGCACTTTACCTCTTTGCTCCCCACACCCCTGTGTAGAAACCACTGTGAGTCCCATTTTTAGACTGAGGAGATGGACGCCCTGATAGATTTCATAACCTGCCCAGGGACATAAGGTTTGCAAGGCAAAGGGTGGGAATTCCAGTCCAACCTTCTGTGTCTAGAGCCTCTCCTTTTAGCTACTAAAAGGAGACACCTTCCATGTCTGTCAAGGCTCAAGTGCAAGTCTGATAGAATTCCTCAGCAAAGCACTGTCCTGGACCCAAACTGGACATGGAGTATGAATTCTCTCAGGAACAGCTTGACCCAGAGCAAACACTTGCACTAAGTTCTTCCACACTTCAGTCTCCAGAGTAACAAGATATGCAATTAAACCTACCTTCCTTTCCGAAATCTGTGGGGATATGCACAAAGAACAGGAACTGTGGAGCCATCGGCGGCTTCCAAGGAAGGCATAGACAGGCAACCCTGTCACAGCCCAGGGAACAGGACTCCAAAACTTAACAGCAAACGGGCACCAGCCTCAAGTCTCCCAGATTAGAGTCTAAAGAGCCAAGACCCGTGAAGTAACCAAAAACCACTTGTGCACTAAAATATATCGCAAGGCGCAATTACTGTGCATCGGCATGCACACCATGTAGGAGATTTCTAGAAATCAGAAAAGGTCCTACTTAACTAGCTCGCTGGTTTTCTGTATGATATACATATGTATTTCCCCAGTTCATATACACCAACTCGAATCTTGAGAGCCTTGCAGCTCACTTCACTGAACCGAGGAGATGGAAAGGGAAAAAGAAGATCCGAGTTCTAGAACCCCGGCTGCCCATAAGGCCAGTTTTGGCAAAGCCAAAGGGGTGAGTCTTCCCTTGGCAAGGCCAAAAGGAAATTACTTCAGCGAAGAGGGGCTGGTGATCTCCTCGAGCAGGACAAAGCCACATTTGCACTATGCAACATCGCCTACTTTCGTGGCCAAAGCCAGGGACTTCAACCCACCACTCTTTCCAGCCTGGCGCTGAGAAGGGCCATGGGGAAGGCAGGAGAAAACACATTTTAATCAAAACAAGGCAGGAGACGCCAGGGAAGGCAGCCTCGCGGGGCCTGTCTGGGACGTGAGAACCACTTCCTCTTCTCGGATGTGTCTCGGGCTGGAGATTACGAAGTTGCTGAGAAGCGCTCGCGGCTTCCTGCGCGCGGGGACCTAAGGGACCCGGGGCTGTCCCAGGCGCAGACCCCGGACACCCTGCGCAGAAGGGACAGGGACCTGGACCGGCTGGCGCTGCCCAGTGCGCGTCCTGCTTACCCCAGGGTGCTGATGAAGCCGTTGACCGAGCCCTCCGCGTACAGGGACACGATGTCCCCAATGTAGAGGAAGCTGGACATTTTGTCAGACATGCTGCTTCACGCTCCTGTGGCCGCCCCCACTGTCTCCGCTGCGCGCAAGGGTGAGCTCAGGCCCGTGGGGTCCGAGGAGTCCGAACAGCTCAGCCTCGGCGCGCGGCAGCGAGGCCACTGCTGGGGACAGCGCGATGGCCCCGCGCCGCCGTCGCCGCCCCTGCCCTGCCGTAGGTTTCCTGTTCCTGGCGAAGTTCTGTCCTACACCTTCGCTCCTCCTCCCTGGCCCGCGCTCCCTCCTCGTCCCCACAGTGCGCGCCCGGCCCGAGTGGAGCTTCTAGGTCCCCTCGGGGGACTCTCTGGACCAGGTGGCGGTGCCCACGGACCGAGGGGGCGGGGAGGAGCCCCGGGAGGGGGGCGTGCGGCCAATCAAGCCTAGGCGGCCGGGGGCGGAGCGGGGCCGGGGCGGGGCCAGCTCCCGAGGGACGGGCCACCCTGAAGCCGCCCGGACCGAGGTTCAGGAACCACGCTGGGCGGCGCTGCAGGGGCAGCGGGAACCCGGCGGGGGACTGGGGCTCTGGGCACGGAGCGATCTTGGAAGGGCGGCCCCGGGGTGCGCGCAACAGTCTGGAGGGACTGGGGGAAGGGAGGGAAGACGAATCGGTGAGCTCAGGAGGGACCCAGCCGGGCTGGAAAGGGGTGCGTGAGGTGCAGCCAGAGTAGAGGGGAGGACCCGGAGCACGCAGCGACAATCCCTGTTTGCGAAAGGAAGAGGACTTGGAGGGGGTTGGAGGAGAACTGCCGACCCGAGGGCTCGGGTGGAACCCGCCTTTAGGGACACCGACTGGGAAGAGGGCACGGAGCAGCCGCTCTCCATTGGGCTGGACCTGGAGCGCGCGGTGACGGTCCTGCTGAGTGCACGAACCTGCTAGCGCTGGGGGATAGAGGCCACTGTGGGGTTCGCGCAGTGCAGAAGCCTGAGGACCCCTGACGGAGAAAAGCTGGAGTCGGGGTGGATGTATGTTTGGGTAGGGAAGTTGTTGATCGAGAGGAGGAGAGTTGAGGAAGACACAGATGGAAAGGAGGTGCTAAAGAGGGAGGGAGAGAGCGCTCCTGTGGAGTGTGTTCTTGGATCCGGTTTTTCTCAAGTTTATGGCTGGGTAAAAGGATGCAGCAGCAGCCGCTGCCGCGGCGACCACCCTGGTGATCGTCAGTGTGTCACCGTTGCCAGTGAGGGTTTAGCAGGGCTGAGCTTTGAAACTCCAAGTGAGGGTAACTTGATAAAGGGTAAGTGATGGAACTTGTAGCCCCTGAGATGGAGTCCTGGGTGCCCTCTCTGCTGCTGTCAATCTTCCTCTTCCAGCACCGTTTTAGAAGTGTTTGGTTCTATCCTGTGGAAGACACGGAAGAGGCTAACACCGTGGTGATTATGACACTAGTCCCTCAATAAAAAATTAAAAATGCTGACCAAGCAATCCGCATAGAGCAAGAGATGCGGAAGAGCAGAGAGAGCGTGGCAGCGGCATAAGCCAAAGGCAGCTGACCAAAACGCAGAGTTCAGTGGTGTTGTTTTGTCTTATAGTTCAAAGACGGTTGGGGCAGAAAGGTGTTTAGAAGGCCTCCAAGGCGGCAAAGAACAGACAGGAAATGCCAGGTCAGAGTCTCAGCATGAAGCTGGCAGCACTCACTCCCACTGCCTTCCCCTCCCCCTCCCACGCTCCTCCTCCTCTCCCTGCCCCCTCTGCTACCAACTGAGCCCACAGATATGACCTCTGTGTTGTCCACAGAAAACAGGAATTTAATAAGTTAGAGGCGCCTTATACAAGTCATCCTGTCTACATTTGTGATATTAGTGTTGGGAACCTCCAAAAGATGGGCCCTGAGTCATAAAGTCTTGAGGTGATGGCCCTGGAATGGCATCGCCATTGCCTGCTGCATTCTGTGGTGGTCCTTGCTAACATCCAACAAATGCTCAGCCGTTGCTGGCCTAAATCCCAAAAGCTTCCCTTACACGAAGTCAGGGCAGCTTGAACAAATGAGTGTGTGAATATTTATGCTGACAAACAGATGAAGCATCTGGCTGGGTTCTCAAGTTCTGGCTCCTAGTGAGACAGCCTTGACCTGGAGTAGGTCTCCTAAAACCAAGAGGCACCGGGCAGGAGTCCAGTTGCCTTGGGTAAGACACCATCATCCTGAGGCACCTCTCAACACCTTCCACCCTGCCTTTTATTATTTCTGCACTCTGTGTGTGTGTGTGTGTGTGTGTGTGTGTGTGTGTGTGTGTGTTACATGGATGTGTCTGTCTTGTTATTTCTGTAGTGTGTGTGTGTGTGTGTGTGTGTGTGTTACATGGATGTCTGTCTTGTTATTTCTGTACTGTGTGTGTGTGTGTTACATGGATGTGTCTGTCTTGTTATTTCTGTAGTGTGTGTGTGTTACATGGATGTGTCTGTCTTGTTATTTCTGTAGTGTGTGTGTGTGTGTGTGTGTGTGTGTGCAGATGCACTGACCTGTGTATACAATGGTAGATGCAGAGTTTATATCAGGATATCTTCTTCCTCGGCTGCTTTTCCACCCTGCTGTTTTGTTGCTGTTGTGTGGAGAGTTTGAAGCAGGGTCTCTCACTGACCCTGAAGCTTACCATCACATAGCTAACTGCCCAGAGAGCGTTAAGAGACCACACATGCCCAAGCCCCAGCAATGGAGTTAGATATGCCCGCCACCATGCCCAGCTTTTACGTAGGTCCTGGGTCTGCGTTCCTCACACTGCCGCAGCAAGCACTTCACCCACAGAGGCACGGCCATGCCACCCCAGCTGACTCACTACCACGGTAGAAATAGCCTGAGAGTGGTCAGCATCTGACTTGTTTCACCCTTCACGGGGTCCTGAGGGCTGGTGTGTGGCTCAGGGGCAGAGCATTGACCAAGCATGCACAAGGCCCTAAGTTTTACAGTACTACAAAACAATTTAAATAATAGATTGATAAAACAGTATTTTTGTGCTTTCTTATATTTTATTTATTTATTTTATTTTTATTTATTTATTTATTTGGTTTTTCAAGACAGAATTTCTCTGTGTAGCCCTGGCTGTCCTAGAACTTGCTCTGTAGACCAGGCTGGCCTGGGATTCACAGAGATCCACCTACCTCTGCCTCACGAGTCCTGGGATTAAAGACATGTGCCACCACCTCCCAGTTAATAAATATTTTTATGTTTATTATGTCAATGAAGACTAAATGTTGAGTCTAGCATCAGTCAGTCTCCTGTGCCACTGAGACCAGGAATCACTTCAGCAAAAGCTCCAGTCACCAGCCCTAAAAGTCTATACAGGTAATAAACCAAGCCGAGTGTAATATCTGAGATATTTATTCTCAGGGATCGAAGTATTAAAAATGAACTTCTGGTAAAGAGTCCAGATCCTGTGGTCAGCTGGACAGAGTCAGGGACCCTGTCCCTGAATGTGTCATGAATTACTTCCTCTTTTCTCTCCCTTGCGATGAACATAATTTGAAAAATACCGCTGGCTTATTGAGCAGTCTGATTTATGAGATACATGAAAAGTATAGAATTAAAAAGTCATTCTCTCTCAACAATGCTATACCAAATCTACACGTTTTGTGGCTTAATAAGGCGTCAGGGGCAGCCTTTGGGCTTTGGGGTTCTTCTGGTTAAAATACAGCCTAGGAGCTGAGGAGCTGGCTCGGCTGGTAAGCAGACTGCCGGGCAAGCATAAGGAAGTGAGTTTGGATCCCACACCCACCAGGCACGGCAACACATCCACAGTGGGCAGAGGCAGCAAGGCTCCAGAACCAGCTGGCCAGCCAGTCTAGCGGATCCAGGGGCAGTAAGAGACCCAGCGTCAAGCAACCCAGGCAAAGAGCTTCCAAGATAGCTTACATCAACCTCTGGCTTATAAACACACAAACACACAGGCATATGTGCACACTTGCACACCTACAAAGAAAAACAGGGACACACAACACATAGTAGGCACAAGCATGGCAGCACATACCTGCAACCCCAGCACTTGGGAGACTGAGGCAGGAGGATCAGGAGCTCCAGGCCATCCTGTGCTGCATAATGAGAGCTTGTCACACCCTCAGAAACAAAGGAAGGAAGGGATGCACACTCACACCCGTGTCCCAGTCCCATCTGAAATGTTAATCTTGTCTCCTCTGAGCGAGGAAGGATGCTGTGTCAGGCACTCTCCTCACTGCTGTGACAAGAACAAAGGGTTTGTTCAGGCCCACGGTGTGCAGGTACAGACCACGAGGGCGGGCAGGCGGGCGGGCAAGCCATGGCAGCAGAAGCCATGTGGCACTTCCAGTCAGGAAGCAGAGAGACATGAATGCTGCTCCTCTTGCTTCCTCTAGTCCAGGAGTCTGGCCCTGAGAATGTGCTGTCCACATTCCCTCCTCGGTTAACCTAATCTAAAAGCTTCTGCACAGGCATGCCCAGAGGTTTATAGTCTACATTCTGTCCTGCTGACCGTCAGCCTTACCCAGCATTGTGCACCACGGATGTGGTGGGCCTTTCACGTGCTAGCAGCTGGGGCATTGTGATGGGAAGTGGAACCAGGATGGACCAAGAGCCAGGCATGTGATTTAAATATGCTTAGGACCTCTGCCCACTTGGCCAATGGGGAAGAGCAGCAGTGGTTACTAGCCAGGTGGGTCTCAACGCTGATTCTCTGCTTCACGAAAGAGTGAGGTTTCACTAGCTATGGAACTCAGCAGCACATAGTTCCCTAAAGTGGAGGAGTTGGAGCCAGGCAGATTGACCACTCCCAGACCCTCTTGGATCTACCCTCAGTGCTGGTGATTTTTAAGGGTTGTCTCCTTTTGACTTTGGGAGATTCGAGTCTTCCTCGTGGTAGTGCAGCCTATACATGGAACCTGTGTTGAAAAGGTCACCATGATTGAGGAAACGTTGTGGTGGTCTGAATGAGAATGTCCCCCATAGGCTCAGATATTTGAATTCTTGGTCCCCAGTTGGTGGAGTGTTGTGGAATATTAGCTTAAGATGTGTTACATTTATGCTGTGGAATATGTGTTTAATAATGTAAAAATGTGTTGCATTTTTTGACTATTTTCTTTTCTTTAATTTTTTTAAAGATTTATTTATTTTGTACACAGAAGAGGGTGCCAGATCTCATTACAGATGGTTATGAGCCACCATGTGGGTGCTGGGAATTGAACTCAGGACCTCTGGAAGAACAGTCGGTGCTCTTAACCTCCGAGCCATCTCTCCAGCCCCATGTTGCATTCTTTTATGTTGCATTTGTTTAACTCTGTGAAGCTGTGTTACTGTGCTTGTCTAAAATACCTGATTGGTCTAATAAAGAGATGTGATATATTGTGCACCCCAATAAAACTTATCTGGGTATCAGAGGACATAGCCAGCCAC